AAACCCTGTCTCTACTAAACATGAAAAATTAGCCGAGCGTGATGGCACATGCCTGTAATCCCAGCTACTTGGGAGGCTCAGGCAGGAGAATCGCTTGAACCCGGGAGGCAGAGGTTGTGGTGAGCCAAGATTGTGCCATTGCACTCCAGCCGGGGCAACAAGAGCAAAAAAACTCCGTCTCAAAAAAAAAAAAAAAAAAAAAAAAAAAAAAAAAAATTAACTGCAGAGGAACCAAGGAAAGGGAGGGAGGGGTGAAGAATGACAGCCAGCTAGAAAAAGAACAGCTAGGTAAGAAAACAAGAGATGAACTGAGAATGCTCCCACAATCCAAACAGAAAGAATTCTTCAAAAGAATAAAGTCCAGGCCCAGCGGGGTGGCATATGCCTGTAATCCCAGCACTTTGGGAGGCCGAGGCGGGCGGATCACTTGAGATCAGGAGTTCGAGATCACCAGCATCGTGAAACCCCGTCTCTACAAAAAACACAAAATCAGCCAAGTGTGGTGGTGCCTCTAGTCCCAGTTACTTGGGAGGCTGAGGCATGAGGATCGCTTGAAACTGGGAGGTTGTAGTGAGCTGAGTTCATACCATTGCACTCCAGTCTGGGCAACAGAGTGAGAGCCTATCTGAAAAAAAATAAAAATAATATAATAATAAAGTCCAAACTAGACTCGGTAAATGTCTGAGGATAACGAAAAAAAAAATACTAGTTTTGATGAAAATGGATTGTGATCCAAACATTCTATATGAGACTAATTATCATTCAAGAATGAAGCCAAAGATAAGAATGGTCTCAGAAATGTTAACTATTTAGACACCATTCCTGGTAGAGTTGCTCAGAGAGTTTTGAGATCAATGTAGTATCAGACCACTGGTGGACTAACTACCCAATGCTGTTTTTTTCAGGAATTTTCCTCCTCCTTCATCTGTTCGTTTCTGCTCTGCATTATGACAAGTGGGGAAAACAATGTATACGTGTGTGTGTGTGTGTGTATATTTTTATTTTCCCCTTTATCATTGTGCTCTTCTAGATTCAAGGTAACTCAATTTCCTAACGATCTGCTTTATATATTTTAGGGGACTTCAAAAAGTTCATGGAAAAAATGGAATTAAAAGATAAAAATATAAATTTTTATTTCTCAACATACACTCTATTAAGTTCAAGCAATGATACCAGCCATTCAGTCCATCCCTAAAGACCTGAGGGTCCTGGGAATTAACCATGTCAATACAGTTATTTTTATTAACTGAAGAAAAACAGATGCACTTTACAGATTTTTTACGATTGGGAAACAAACAGAAGTCAAAAGGAGCCAAAGCAGGCCTGGGAGATGGATACCTAATGACTTTGATAGAAATTCTAGCAAAATTGCCCTTGCTTCATGAGAGAAACAGGCAGGAGCACTGGCATGGTGGAGGAACCTCTGGTGAAGCTTTCCCAGTCGTTTCTCTGCTAAGCTTTGGCTTTCTCAAAACACTCTCACAGTAAGCAGACGATATCTTTATTTGGTCCTCCAAAGTCAACCAACAAAATGACTCGAGCATCCCAAAAAACTGTTGCCATAACCTCTGCTCTTGATCAGTCTGCTCTTGCTGTGACTGGGCCACTTCCACCTCTTGGTAGCCATTATTTTGTATTTTATATTGAGGATCATACAGGTAAAGCCATGTTTCGTCTCTGTTACAATTCTTTGAGGAAATGCTTCAGGATCTTGATCTCACTTGTTTAAAATTTCCATCGAAAGCTCTGCTTTTGTCTGCAGCTGATATGGGCTCGATGGTTTTGGTGCCCATTGAGTGGAAAGTGTGCTCAACTTTTTCAGTCAGATTTACATAAGCTGAACCAAGATGCCTATGGTGCTGGCTGTCGTTTCTGCTATTAATCATTGGTCCTCTTCAAGTAGAGCATGAATGAGATAATCTTTTCCTCACAAATTGACATGGTCTGCTGCTGTAGGCTTCATCTTCAACATTTCTTGTTCTTTCTTACAATTAATCCATTTGTAAACTGATTTCCCTGGGGCGTTGTTCCCATAAACTTTTTGCAAAACATCAATTATTTCACCATTCTTCCACCTAAGCTTTGCCATACATTTGATGTTTGTTCTTGCTTCAGTTTTAGCAGAATTCATATTGCTCTGATAGGGACTCTATTAAACTGATATCCTTCTTAGTGCCTCAATAGATCCCATTCAGACATGTTATAATGTTGAGTTTATTTTGTTGCAAAAATGTTTGAAATCGATGCATAATTTTTTTCATAAGATGCATTTTCCATGAACTTTTGGAAGACCTCTTGTATGTTAACTTACATTCATTTCAATAGTCTTTAAAGAAGGGTATCCCGTTTACACAAATGAATACTGCCTCCTGGGTCCAAGTGATTCTCCTGCCTCAGCCTCCTGAGTAGCTGGGATTATAGGCATGAGCCACCATGCCTGCCGAAGTTTGTATTTTTAGTAGAGATGGGGTTTCTCCACGTTAGTCAGGCTGGTCTCAAACTCCCGACCTCAGGTGATCTGTCCACCTCAGCCTCCCAAAGTGCTGGGATTGCAGGCATAAGCCACCTTCTTAACTTACTGCAGCTTCAAACTCCTGGGCTTCAGTGATCCTCCTGCCTCCAGTTATGATATTTTAATACTACCACCTTTTCACAATACTTAGGGCTTTGTTAAAAAAAAAAATAGTAAATTTCTTAGTACCAAGCATCAAAATCCGTGTTCTGGACATTTAAAGTATGTCAAATCAACACTGCCTTGTGTGCACCTATGCAACAATCTTGCATGCTCTTCACATGTACCCCCAAACCTAAAATGCAAGAAAAAAGAAAGTATGTCAAATCAAATAATGCCAGTCAGATTCCAATAAACAGCCTAGGTAAAATGTCACTTATTTCCTGTTCACTCATGGTTGGACACATCAACTAAGTGGTTACAGGTGGGCTTCCTATCGTCCACAGCACACTTTCTTAATCATGTCCAGAGAAAGAAATTGAACATTTGCCCCAACACAACTTCTAAAAAGTAAGAGCTAACATTTTCCTTCATTTATTTCACTTAATACCACTCTTTGCAGTCGCTAGTCAATAGTTTTCTCATAAATATCTTTTCTTTTTTTTTTTATCTTCAGTGGCAAAAATCCTAATACCTTTGTTTTTTTTTTTTGAGACGGAGTTCCGCTCTTGTTGCCCAGGCTGAACTGCAATGGCACAATCTTAGCTCTCGGCAACCTCTACCTCCCGGGTTGAAGCGATTCTCCTGTCTCAGCCTCCTGAGTAGCTGGAATTATAGGCATGTGCCATCATGCCTGGCTAATTTTTTTGCATTTTTAGTAGAGACAGCGTTTCTTCATGTGGGTCAGGCTGGTCTCAAACTCCCCACCTCCAGTGATCTGTCCGCCTTGACCTTCCAAAGTGTTGAACTCCCGAACTTGGTGATCTGCCCGTTTTGGCCTCCCAAAGTGCTGGGATTACAGGCGTGAGCCACCTGGCCCAGCCCCTAATACCTTTTTAACTCTAGGATTCTAACAAAAATTTTGTTTTGTGTTAATTTAAAATGTTGGTAACAAATGCCCAAGGCACACTAAAAGTTGATTTAGACATGCCTGAAATATAAGATACGTTAGTAACATTTTAGTATCGCTGGAAATTCTTAAGAAGCATCTTTTACTTAAGTTTTAGTACCAGTCACTCATCAAAATTTTTTGCATTGCTATGTGGGAACTGTATTTGATGAGTTATATGGGGGGAATCATGTAAAATCCATCTAACTGAAAATTTCCAGATTCAGTAATGCTGTATAAGTGAATAAAAATGTGCTTTGAATAAATATACCATAATGAAGCAGGTAAAATCGATTTGATAAGATTCTACATGTTATGAAAATTCCTTTTTCTTCTGGAAAATTCCATTACAGGAACCCATCCTAATGACACTATCTTCAGGAAGGGAAGCAAAGAACCTATTGGTGTCATTGCTTTTGCCTTCAATTGATCACAGAACTCTCTCTTGCTATATACACATACATACACACTTTTTATTTGAGACAGGGTCTCACTCTGTTACCCAAGCTGGAGTGCAGTGGCAATGATCAAGGTTCACTGCAGCTTCGATTTCTGGGATTAAGCCAGGCTCTTCCCTCAGCGCCCCCAGTGGCTGGGACTCCAGGCACATGCCACCACAGCCAGATAATTTTTGTATTTTTTTTTTGTAGAGAGATGGTTTTGACTCCTGGGCTCAAGCAATCTGCCTGCCTGGGCTTCCCAAAGTGCTGGGATTATAGGTGTGAGCCATCATGCTTAGCCTGCAATGTCTTTTAATGTAGAATGTCCTTTCCTGTTGGGCTGACTTTGCATATGTCTGTTCCTATTTTTCTTTTTTAGATAAGTTTGATAAGTATTCTCATAGGGACTAAGGTACAAGTAGAATTTTTTTTTTTTTTTTTTTGAGGCAGGGTCTCTCTGTTGTCCAGGCTAGAGTGCAGTTGCTCGGACTCCTGGGCACAAGCAATCCTCCCACCTCAGCCTCCTTCAGCTGATTTCTTAATAATATAATACAGATTGAAAAATGTGACAAACAAACTTGAACAAGGAAAAACTAAAGATGCAAAGCAGTATGTGCCTTTCTCATTTGGTTGTTTCTAGCCCTCTTAAAAACAATACTCTATTTTCAGGGAAATACAATCTATAGTTTACATTCGTTTTAAATTTTCTTTATCAATAGAGCTGACTGGTATGCAGATACGATTTGTGAGGCATACATAATGGCAAAGTTCCTGCCTTGGCATATTTACACAGCAAATCTATGACATTTCTAACCAAAACCAACCACCCACATCCACACAACAAAAACGCACAGTTAACACGGACGAGCAAAATAAATACCTATGTTACACTGACAATTTAAAAGCACACTCCATTATATTATTACTGTATTAAATTGGTATTACAAAGGCAGGAAAAGCATTAACATTTGTATTTTAATAAAGGATAAAAAAAGCCAGATTACAGTCAACTGTTAAAGCTTTTTTTATTATTATTTTTTAAATTCTACAGTATAACAAAATCAGTCCAGGGCTTTTTCTGAACAAATGATCCATTGGTCTTTCCTGTGGCATGCTCCTAAAACAACGCTCTATGTCTAACCAGACCTAAGACATCGAGTGGCAAGTCTTTCACTTCTGCTGCTTACAATTTCTAAATGGTCCATACTGAGTATTTTCATTTCTGGGTAAGGGAAAAAGCATTTTGGTCCATTAATTCTCCCACTCGCTCCTGGAGGACATTAACTAATTCTGCTATTACAAAGACGTGAGTGTCATCAATGTCTTGAATGATGAACTTCTTCCCCAGGGCATTGGACTCATCCAAGTACAGCAGAAACTGCTTCATGGCAGGATCACTGCGAAGATAAACACATGACTGTAAGATACCTTGTTGTCAGATCATACCACAGAGACTTGAGCAATTAAATCAACAGGTAGAATTTTTAGAATGATTTTTAAAGTTCTGTTACTCAATCCCTTAATTCCTCTCCGCCGCAAGTGTTAACGATTTACAGACATGGCTTCATTTTAGAACTATTAGTGTATGTTGAAGAGGCAGAGGCCAATGGCAAGATTTTTAAAGAATAATTTGTCACTACGTGAAAAAATAGAACACTCAAAGCTTTGTAGTTAGTAGGGCCCAGAATCACAGCTTTCTTAAATGATTCAAAAAATGAATTTCTTTTTTGTCTATGCCCATTACATCTAAGGAACCAGTAGGTTTTCAATGTCCTACCAGTGACAAATTAACTTACAAAACCAGTTTAACAGTCACTTTGGTCAGGCAGGGTATATAACAAGAGTCATACCTGGATTCAACCCAGCTTCCTCACTTACTTTGTGACTCTGAATATGGACTTAATCTTCCAGAGCCTCTGTTCCCAACTACAAAAGTGAGGCTACATAACAGAATTGTTACGGAAATTAAAGGCGCTAACTGTCAAGGACAGTGCTTGGTTTGCAGTAGGTACTCAAGGGAAGAGATCCAAATTGAATTTTATTAATTTGTGGATTTTAGTTTGGAAGGAATAGGATTGTCATGAGGGAAAAGAGGGATACAATTTCTTCATGGGCAGCACAGATCTACAGCAAAATGTCTCTAATATACAATGTGGGAAGCAGAAGATGAATATAAAAATGTCAAGCTGCACCACAGATTTTTGCAAGAAAACAATCTCATATCATCTTTTGGTGTCCTGAGAAATTTCAGTATCAGTTGTAAAGGTAACAATTTAATCCAAAAGATGTCATTGTAATTTACTGAAAACAAGAAAAATAGTTTTCAGTACAAGCACAGGTATTAAGTGATGCTAACAAAGGATTTACTTCTATTCCTAGATGAGTATCAGCCTCAGAACTGACTTGAGGGACTTTGGCTTTTACCAAGGGACATGATTTAACTTACAAACCGACTTAAATTTTAACTGTAAGGATCGTATTAGCTGGGTTGAGAAAAGACTGGAAGTGGCAGAGGCAAGAGTGGAGGCAGGGAATCCATGAGGTGACATCCAGGCAAAAGATGATGATTTTCACGTAGGTGGCAATAGTGGAAGTGATGAGAAGTGGCTGAATTCTAGATATTTACTGACATAAAACCAATATAATTTGCTAATACTGGACATTAGCTTTGAGAAAGAGGAACAAGGAAGCTCCAAGATTTTTGGTCTGAGCAAATCGAAGAATGGAGGAGATTTTTACTGAGATAAAGAAGAACGTGTGAGAACAGGTTTGCAGGTAAGATCCAGTTTAGTTTTAGGTTGGGCATGGTGGTTCACGCTGTAATCCCAGCACTTTGAGAGTCCTAGGCTGGAGGATTGCTTGAGGTCAGGAGTTAGAGACTAGCCTGGACAATAGAGTGAGACCCTGACTCTATTAATAAAAAAAGTTGTTTTTTGACATTATAATTTGAGATGCCTATTGGCCCCCGAGTGGAGAAGCTGAGTAAGAAGTGACCATTAGGCCAGGCACGGTGGCTGACACCTGTAATCACAGCACTTTGGGAGGCCAAGGCGGGCGGATCACGAAGTCAGGAATTTGAGACCAGCTTGGCCAACATGGTGAAACCTCAACTCGACTAAAAATACAAAAAAATTAGCTGGGCATGGTGACACGCACCTGTAACTCCAGCTACTCAGGAGGCGGAGGGTAGGAGAATCACTAGAACTCGGGAGGCTGAGGTTGCAGTGAGCTGAGATCATGCCATTGCACTGTAGCCTGGGCAACAAGAGTGAAACTCCATCTCAAAAACAAAAACAAACGCAACCAACCAGCCAAACAAAAAACCCAGAAGTGACCACTACCCGGGAACGGTGGCTCACGCCTGTAATCCCAATACTTTGGGGAGCCAAGGCGGCCGGATCATTTGAGGTCAGGAGTTCGAAACCAGCCTGGCCAACATGGTGAAACCCTGTCTCTACTAAAAATACAAAAATCAGCCAGGCAGTAGTGGCATGCGCCTGTAATCCCAGCTACTTGGGAGGCTGAGGCAGGAGAATCACTTGATCCTGGGAGGCAGAGGTTGCAAGTGAGCTGAGATTGAGCCACTGCACTCTGGTCTGGGTGACAGAGTGAGACCCTGTTTCAAAAATAAATAAATAAATAACAAATAAAAATAAAAAAGAAGTCACCACTGAGGTAGAAAGAAAACCCAGAGAGTCCTGAAAGCAACGCGAACAAAGGCTAATCAGGAAGTGGGAGTGATCAAGTCTGTCAAAGGCTCATAGCATATAGCAAGATTAGGACTGAAAATTGACTACTGGATTCAGAAAGTCACTGGATCTCGACAATAGCAGTTTTAGCAGAGTCATAATACAGAAAGCGTGACTGGAGTGGGTTTCATATGCGGGGAGAGAAATCAGAGACAGTGAAGAGAACCAAGTCTTCTCTTTACTGAGAAATTTAGCTGTAGCGACCAGAAAGATAGACTGGAAGCTAGAAAGAGGTGTGGGAATCTGAACAGATGGGACACAGGTCTGACGAGGTTGAAGAAATGATGGAGTGAAGAGGGAGTGAAGAAAAGAGGAGGTGATGGTCAGAGTTGGATGCTGAAATGAGACTGAAGAGCTGGCATGTGGGTAAGGAAGAGAAGGTCTAGCTATGACTACATGAATGAGTGGCTGTGATGAGGTGGAGGATAAACTCAGTGGAAGAGGAGGTCAGGGACCTGGGAGAATAGGGTATCTAAAGGATCATCCACATAGATATTAACATCACTAAGGATTTGAGAGGAGAGCTACTGAAGATAGTTTTTTCAAGGAAACCTTTAGGAAAGAATGGGGTGTCTATAGATGATTATAAAGAGGAGGGTTGGTGGGTAGCCACTCTGAAGATCTAGGATTGATAACTGGGGGTTTCTATGGAAGAGGAAGGGAAAATTTCTGGAAGTGGCAATAATAAGCAAGGTACCAATCCTCCAGGCCCAATGGTACAAGAGGGTGCTGTTGTAGAGGTAAAAAGGCACCACTTGATAAGATGGTGGGAGAAGCAGGGTGCTCAGGAGAAAGCCAGGTTTTGTCCAAAAAATAACAACAAAAAACAAACAAAAAAAAACCAACACATGGTGGGGCAAGGAAAAAGGAAAGTTCAGAGAAGAGGCTGAGGCCACAGGGCATGCTGCTGCCATCTCACTATGTCCTAGAGGGCAAAGTGGAAAGGATTGGGGTGGGTAGGTAGGAGATGGTGAACAGGGCCATAGATCATGGAAGTCCAAGAGATGGAATGGCTTGGGGGTCTGTGGCTTATTGGGTGACTGAAAATAAGTAAAAATGGGCATATAAGGCATAATGAGAATTAGGGTCTCCAGGATGACACTGACATGAAACTCAATGGCAATTACAGCTGGTGACACAGATGGGAGGAAGAATGAGGTATTTTATGAACACAGCATAATGGTCACAGATTTAAGCAGATACAGAAAAATGTTAAACTTCATATTTTCAGCAATTCCCTAATTTTGACTATCATACAGAATATGAATTTAAATGAAAAGATTTTCTAGAACGGTAACACACTGTACACCGAGAAATCTCAGAGGTAAATAATGGATTAATTATCGACAAAGAGCACAGGTGGAAACATTTTTTGAAAAAAGCTTGAAGAGCAATTCTCAAAGGAACCCGGAGTTGATGAAGCACGTTCAACAGGGTGCTTTCCAAGGAAAATGAGGAGGCCCACGGGACAGGGTAACCAAAGTTTCAGTCTCTCTAAAATTATTGTTCTTCTACTCAGACTCTTTAAAAATTCAGCTGTTTCCCTAAAATTTTCCTTGCATATACAAATAAAGGTAGAAGGGGAGGGATTGGTGGGGAGAATAAAAGGAGAGCAATTCAACAGTAGACAGGTGTGATGTCTGGGGAAGGGAGAGTCAGACAAAAACCCTGGACTTCAGTGCTCTACAACTAAGCTTTCCTTGCAAACAAGAGACAAGGGAGGACTCATATGGTGACCCTGGCACCCACTTGACCCTCCAGGCCCCACAAGTACCTCAATATATTCTATAAAAATCCTAGAGGTTTCTTAGGATACATTTTACACAATCAAATTATAAACCAAAAATAAAATTCTAAGTACCCTGCCCCTAACCCACCAACTGACTGATGGACCCTCCCCTTGGCCAAGGGCATTCCAAAGTTAACCTGAAAAACTAGTTCAGGCCATGATGGAAAAGGTGGTCAGGCATGCCTCATACCTGCCTGCCTTTGAATTCAGGCATTGCTGACCAGTATTAACATTAAAACAGAGATCTTAAGACCCACACAACAGACGTTTTGTAGCAATGAAACACCAAATTCCAGCGTGACTCTTGTAGAGCATCACATGGAAGATAGCAGGCCCTGAAATTGTATTGTACCCCAAAATATGTTTCTTTGACATATTTTGAAATGGCCCTGCAATGTGTCTCTTGTGGGGAAAATCTACTCTGTAGAGAATCCAGGTCTTTTCCCTGATCCAGGAGTGTCTGGCACTTTTTACCTCTGATAAAAGCTCTGAAGCCTGCTACCTGGAGGCTTCATCCGCATGATAAAACCTTGGCCTCCACAGCTCCTGACCTTAACCCATACATTCCATTCTATTGATTCCAGGTCATTACATAATAACTGTTTCAATCAACTGCCAATCAGAAAATCCTTGAATCTATGCCTGGAAGCCTGCCCCCATTCCCTTTGCTTCGAGTTGTCCTGCCTTTCTGGACTGAACCAATATAAGTCTTACATGTATTGATTGATTTTTTGTCTCCCTAAAACGTGTAAAACCAAGCTGTAGCCGGAACACCTTGGGCACAAGTTGTCTGGACCTTCTGGGGATATGTCATGCGCATGTCCTTAACCTTGGCAAAATAAATTTATAAATTAATTGA